TCACCGGTTTTTTTGGGGGGGGGGGGTTTGAGCAAGTGGGATTGTGCCCCACAATTTTTTTGTTTGGTGATTATGGTGATTACTTAGCACTTTCCTGTAGTTGAGCACTTGACCCCTGACTTTTGTTAAATTAATTGTTTTTCAACAATTGCAATATCACAAGGTCAGTAGTAGCTATAAAATGCATTAACAACTCTAAACCCTAAAAATCAGTGATTGGGCACAGAGGCGTCATGCCCATTCAAAGTGAGGGGGCATATGCCCCCTCAGATTTCTGAGCCAAATGGATTTTGAATGCAGCTTCCAAAAGACAAAAAATAGCCGAATAATATTTTTTATATTTGATGCAATCGAATGCTGATTCTACGTGTAGTCTGCTTTTAGCCCACCTGGCGAAATCGAGGCAATCTGTGGTCTAATTTTAACGGCTTGGCTATAGCCCTATACCAGTAAAGCCGGGCTCACACTACAGGATTGAAAGACTAGCTGAATCACTGTGTTGCTCACACTATGCAACAAGATTTGTTCTCATCTGTTGTCGTCTTGTCATAGCTGCACGCATACTACACAACACTAACGAGGTGCATGAGGTGCAAAATCACCGAAAGAAAGAAGAAACCACAACATAAGAGAATATGGCAGAAACAATGGCTTGGAAGACGTGGACTGTCAGTACTGCAGAAAGAGTTGGAGGTAATTAAACAGTACATTGAAGCGTGGTATTATATACACAAAATATATGCATTTGTTAAATTTATTTGTAGTTAGTTGATTTGATGAATTTTTGGCTTTTCGTTTCTGTTCATAAAGATGCATTTCACTGTATGTGTAGTGAATCTATATAATATATGGGTTTCACTTTCTGAAATGAGTGACAAAAAATATTGACCTTTTTCATGATATTCTAGTTTTTTGAGATGTACCTGTATAGCATTGTTTATTATGCCAAAAATAATGCTAATTTAAATGTTTCAAAAGTTTACTTGCATTTGATAATATGATGTCATGCATCCCACAAGCTGTTAAATGTTACATTCATACACATACGATATTATTGATATTCGACTGTCTTTCATTTTATAAATAAAAATGAATGCAATTACAATTCCCAACCGCTAGATGGCAATTGTAGCCATACTGAGACATGACTACTGGCAACGCGAGACACGAGAGTTACTAGAGATCACTGTTGTGTTTTGAATTTTGTTTTTACACAAGAGAGCACTAAGTTTACCTGTCAGAGAGCAGATAGTGACCTGTGACTAGGCCCACGGTTCAGCACGCATGTGTTCAGAGGATTAATAGCAAAATTTAATAGAGTAAAAGTTTTATTATTTGTACGTGTTTACAAACTCAATCGATTTTAAAACAGCGCAAGAAGAGGCGAAAGAGCAAACAACAGAACAAGCACAG